CGTCCGGAGCGGCGAGCATGCTGGAGGGCACCGAGGCCACGAAGTGGCCGCAGTCCTGCTGGATGTTGAAGTGCACGGGCACAGCCGGGCTGCAGTAGGAGGCCACTTTGGGCTCGGGGGTTTTGCAGATCTGTGGGGAAAAGGAGAGGTGAGGTCAAGAGGGGGAGCCATCATCTGTTCCACGAACGGTGTTGGGACATTTGGAAATCCCCCCGTGAAAAGGTGAGCTGAAGCTTACTTCACGCCACGCACACAAATGAACTCAAAATGGTCACAGAGACTCAGGTGTAAGGGCCCAAACATACACATGTTAGAAGAAAACATAGGCGAGAATCTTTGAGACCTTGGGTTGAGCAAAGACATCTGGTGGCATACCAAAAGCATGCATGGTTCCTAAAAGAAAGAACTGATAAGTTTGGCCCCATCAAAATTCAAAACTTTTATGCTTTTAAATATACCTTTAAGAAAAAAGAAAGGCAAGCAACAGACTGGGAGAAAATATGTGCAAGACACATATCTGATAAATGAGTTCTACAAAAAAAACTCTTACCACTCAGTTATAAGATAAACTTCCCAATGAAAAAGTAGGGCAAAGATATTAACAGGCATTTTCACCAAAGAATATGTAAATGACCATAGGCACATGAAAAGATGTTCAACATCATGAGTCATTAGGGAAATGCAAATCAAACCCACAGTGAGATACTGGCTGACGCCCACTAGAATGGCTGTAAGAAAAATGACAGACAATAGCAAGTGTCTATGACGATGCGAAGAGATGGGAACACTGATGTATTGCTGGTGGTTTGTAAAAACGGTGTAGTCACTTCAAAACACGGTTTGGCAATTTCTTAAAAAATTAAAAGTAAAATGATCACACAACCCAGTAGAGTGGGGTCCCTGAGCAACAACATACAGTGTGGCCCCCTGGTATTGGTAGGAAGACTTCCCTCTGCCCACGGTGGGCAAATTCTCAGGAAGCCAGATCAGAGCCGACACAGGCAGTCAGCCTTCTGCCCACCCCTCGCACCTGAATGGGCGGCTACCTGACAGGAGACCTGCCTGACCACGGGGGTGCATCCCTCTTGGGAACCTCAGGGGCAGATGCAGGCCCTAAGCTTCTGGGCCTTGGCCACGTTCTCTGAGGCTGCCTGGTTTCTAGATCCAGGTACATATGCACTGTCTACTAGCTGGCATGACCTGCAGGGCTGACTTCAATGAAACTGCTATGTGAGTCAGAGTGGCTGAAGGAAAACAGAAAGCTCTCCAGGGCCGGGGAACCCCAAGGGCCAAAGGCACCCTCTGAGCGGAAAGTAGGAATAAACAAACAGGTGATCTCAAGCTCCTCTGGGGAATCCCCACAACCGTCTCTTCCACATCTTTTTGTACTAATGACAATGCCGGCCACCCGGGACCTTTAGCCGCACTAATCCTCATCGGGTCGCCGAACAACTGGAGAGCCTTGAGCCAGACACCCTGGGCCTCCAGTGCCCTGTAATTACACTGAAAGGGACTGAAGATGGTCTGTGATCTCCTCTCCCAAAGGCTAGTGCACAGCCTCAGCCTCGCTTTATGGAAGGTAAGGATCAGTGTGTAATCCCCAGAAGAAAGGCTTCTCGCATCCACCCAGGAAACATCTTCCTGCGGACAATCCCAGAATAACCCTTCGGGCTGCTGCGCGGCCCCACTCAGGTGACTACAATGGCCACAATGCGCCATGATGCTCACAGGTGCTGTTTCTAGAAGTTCCACAGCAAGCACTTTTCCCAGAGATTTATTTATGCCGCAGCTATAGAAACCTCTCAGCACGAAACCTGGGATAAAAGAGTTCAGCCTCTTAGGAAACTTTTATCAACTTAATTGGGAGGCGGGGGAGGTAACACATTAATCTAATAATTTCTCTGCTATAGAAGTGGAATAGAAATAGAAGGGAAGTGCATTTATCCCAGACATTGGTTCCATTATACCAGCAAACATGATTTTGGAATAGCTTGTCTAAAGGGCATTGTTGCAGGCTCTTTCTTATTCAACTATCTTTAGCTCTTAAATGGCCGGCTTCTGCCCAGCTGGTGTGGCTCAGTGGTTGAGCATCGACCTATGAACCAGAAGGTCACACAGTTGGATTCCCTGTCAGGGCACAGGTCCCAGTTGCGGGTTTGATCCCCAGTGTGGGGCATGCAGGAGGCAGCCGGTCAATGATTCTCTCTCATCATGGATGTTTCTCTCTCTCCCTCTTCCTTCCTCTCTGAAATAAAAAAAATATAGATATTACAAATAAATAAATTAATGGCTGGCTTCTGGAACACTATTAACCTAAAGAAAATTTAGGGGAGTGATCCTCACAAATAGCCTTGCCTGTAAATACCAACCACTGCGCATGGGCCGGCCTGCAGCGCTGTCTATGAAGATGTGGAAAACGCAGTGCTGATGTCTGGCTCACTCCCTCCAGTGAGGGTATCTCAACCACATGGCCACCTACTGAACTCCTGCGTGAGCGAGGCACTGTGTCTACTCAGCCCTCTACATATTAAGTCTCATTAAATCTCAAACCACCAAATGAGGTAGATGGTATTACAGAAGAGGAAACCGAGGGTCCAAGAGGTTCAATTTGCTCAAGATTATACAACCGACAAGAATTTGAGAGTTGAAGCATGGGCTTGAGAGTGCAAGAGACCTTGGTTTAAATATAAACTCTGCAAACACTGACAAGTCACCAGCGCGTCTGGTTCTTGCAGCAGTTCTGTTCTAAGAAGTAGCCACACACACACACCGAATTAACGAATACTGAACCACTGCTCCCAAAGGAAATGCAAAGGGAAGTTCTAGCAAGCCTCGGGTTACAACATTTTCATTAGCTGGCCAATATATAACCTTGTTTTATGTGGGTTTCTGTTTAAAGATACCTCATTAACAGATACTGTTGATTCATTAACATTGCACTCATGGCCAATAGCATTTTACCTCCTGCCTGAATGAAGCTGGTCCAATACTCTCCCAAGGGCACACCACAGCACTTAGGAGCGCTAGACAGGACCTCCGCGCTCAGCCCGGCCATTTAAACAGCAACATCACCACCAACAAGCCCAAAAATGTGAAGAATGAGGCAGTAACTAGACCACGGAAGGGACACTGTTGACAGTGAGCGCTGAAACTAGGTGGAGCGCCCCCTTGTGCCACCTCTGCTGGGAATTTGCAGACTGGGTGATTCAAATCCTCCCCACTCTGTGCATGTCCAGAAATGACCACAAAAATGCCATAAGGATTTGAGTTACAAATAAGTTTTAGCAGTGAATTCACAACATGGAATCCATATAGTGAGGACTGACTGCATTTATCTCAAAAGTCTGCCCTCTCCTCTGTGTATAGGGCAGTAACAGCTCCTTCCTCGCAGGCCACTGGGAGCATTCAATGACACAACACGGGTGTGGCTTTCAGCACCGTGCCCAGCCCAGGTGAGCAGTCGCTGGGAAAGGTTGCTATGGTGATTGCTCTGGCAGGTTTGGCTGCAACCATGCTCAGTGCACACCCCAGAGCTGGTGTGTAGGTTATTGTGCCAACCGGAGGGCGCAGCTGCCCGGGGCATGGGAAACGTTTCCAAGGATCCCCCTTTCTCCAGGGTCTCAAAGGCCTGGGCCCCCGCGAACACTCCCAGTGGAGCGGCTGACAGTTTGCACAGAGATGTAAATGAAGGAGCAGCGTCAACGGCAACTGGGCTGGATGTGGTTCAAAAATCAGTGAGTGGGTCACCTGGCTGCACAGACAGCTGGGTAGAGGGACAGGGGACAGGAAGGGGGCAGGAGGCTTTCTTCCCATCCCCATCTGCCCCACCCACTCATTTCATTTTCAGGGGTCCGCCCTGGGGTTTTTTGGCCCAAGACATTCACACAAACCTTTGATTCAGCTCACATTTCAAACGTTTTGTTGAGCCAAGTCTCACTTTAAACTTTGCAGCCTGGGCCTCATTCACTGTTGAGAATCTGGGCTAAGTCACGTCTGTTCAATAAGAAATAAAGGCCCAGCTGGCTCAACACAGGTCCCTAATTACTCAACTGAAGCTCTAGGTGGCTGAGGAATGAACCGGGCTTTGAAACCTCACACGCAGTTTATGATTTTTGCCTGCCCTATATGCATGAGCAGGGCTACGGAGCAGCCTTCCTCTCTGCCTTCCTCTCCTTGCTGCTGCAAGAACCACGGCCCAGCATTAGTGGGAGCAGGTGCGAGCCGGCCTTTGTTCACGAGGCTCCCAACCGAGGCTCCTGCTCACCAGGCGCAGATGAAATGAGCTCGGCGACAGACAGGCTCCGGAAGGGGGACCCGCTCCCCCGCTCGCGAAGGCCAGACGACTGTACGCCCGTCTAGACCACGCAGCTAATGAGGTGGAACAGCTGCACGTGGGAAATGATGCTCCACGCCCTGCCCGCCGCCCCCAGCACCAGGCCGGGCACATGTGCAAACGGATATTGTTGTTCCCCCGTCTCTGAACATTCCAAGCTCTTCTCCAAAGCTCCTTCTCCACGGTACAGAGGTAATCCTTGCACTGCCAAGTGTCTGGCAAAATCAGATGGGGGACACGCGGGCCCCTCTTCCTTCGAAGACCAATCTTCCCGTTCCCTCACCGTTTACTTTCCTACCGAAATGAGAAGCAACGCTTGCCTTTAACATCCTCTGGGGAAGCTGGGTTTTCTGCACTGGCCGTCAGAGAACGTAGCCGATTCTACATTATGACAGGAGGTTCTAGAATGCAAGCTGCACGTCACAGTGTATAAAACCCCAAACCCCGGCAGATCATAAGTAGGAAGCTGCCCCATCAAGGCTATTTCACATTCGTTCACTATTTACATTTTTTCTAATACCTTGGGACAGATGATGGCAAAGAGAGCTCAGGGTTCCCCTCCTCATTCCCAACCAAAAGCCTACATTTACAGACGGGCCATAGACCCATTAGACAGTCAAGGCCACTAAAAGGAGATGAAGAAAGAAGTCACACTAGACTCGAGTCAGTGGCCAAGATCCAAATGGCCAGATGTGTGCAGACGCTCAACCAGCTGGCTCGGAACTGCGCCCTGAGAGAGCAGTGGGGTGTGGCAGCAACAGCCCTGATCCAGTGGCAAAGATTAAAGAGCTGTGTTCCCTTGGACTAATCACTTAGCTTCTCTGAACTTCATTTGTCTTAACTGACAGGATGGTAACATAGACAAGACAAAGCATTCATCTCAGCCACCAGCTGACTATGGGCAAATTACTTAATCATTTTAAGCTTCAGAGTCCTCATCTGTGAAACCTACCCACCCTGTGAGGATTCAAGGTCATGTAGTTAATGCAGCCAGAAAAGAGTCTAGTTGTGTAGTGAATGCTCAGTCAATGTTCTTACCCTTATTGTTCTAGGTCGAAGTCTCCTGGCTCTATCTGAAGGACAATACCCTAACTGTCCATCTTCTGTGCTAGATTATAAGATCCATAGGAACCTTATGTCCACCTCTCTATACTCAGACCTTGACAAAATACTTGGCCCATTGTAGGCACTCAGTAAAAACCCACTGAATAAGTGAAGGAACTCTCTGTTGCATTCAAAGGCAACTGCTATCTTAATCCAACGAGATCACCTAAGTTCATGCCTGGAAGCACAGAATGAATCATCTATTCATAGTGCAAATCTCTCTGCACCAAGCCCTTCGCCAGGCAGAGGGTGAGATCACTGAACATTAAGTGTCAAAAGGGACCTTCGGACTCAACCCTCCTCCCGAAGCCTGGAGAGGCGGGAGGACTTGCTCCAGCCACAATCCCGCCAAAGCCAGGACCAGCTGGCTGTGCTGCAGATTAGGAGGGTGGTACCTACTTTCACAGCGTAGGTGCTGCCGGGGTCCTCGGAGCAGGTGGCACAGTAGTAGATGGCATCCCCCGAGTCACAGCAGGGCTTGTTGCAGGTCAGCTTGAAGAGCGACCAGTTGTTCTCATTGAAGTGCAGCTCCTTCTTCTGGCGGCCCATGAACAGGTCCTCACACTTGGCCCCGAGGCGGACGAGGGACTGGGCGTAGAGCCCCACCAGCTTGGCGTAGGTGCCCTCCTTGCTGCTGATGCTGCTCAGCAGGCTGTGGAGCTGGAGCTGGTTGCTGCTGGTGGAGGCCTGGCTGGCCACGCTCAGCTGGGAGGATGAGGCCGAGGGCACCCCCTTGCACTGGAGGCTGGGGCTGCCGCTGCCGCTTCTGCCACCTGCCAGCCCCGGTGCTGGGACCCAGTGGCCATTGCCCTTGAAAGTTTTCTCCAGAGGCTCCGAAGAGAAGCCGTGACGGTGGCGGTACCCGTGGCCGAAGTGGGACTCCTCATGCGCGCGGACGTTGATCTCCGAGTGGCTGAGGTTCAGCTTGGGACTTGCTGCTCTCGGCTTGGGGGAGCCCTGGGTCCAGAAGAAGCCATCGGGTGAAGAGGCCGCCCGGCTCACTAACTTCTTCTGGGGGAGAGGCGGGGGCTGCAGGGGGCTGCTGCGGGACACGTCCTCGGTGGAGCCCGAAGGGAATGGAACAGGAGCAAAGAGCTTCTTCCCACTGTTGGTGGGCGAGTGAGGCGGCTCAGACGATGGGCCTGAAATCGAGAAACAAATAGGCTGGAGGTCAATGCCATTCATTCCAGAACCCCTGGGCCTGCATCTACCTATTACCTACCTGTCTGTCTGTCTAGCTACCCATCCATCCATCTAGCTAGCAAGCTAGCTATCTCAAAGCAATTCATTTTATTTTTATTTACCTCTCGAAGTGACGATATCTGCACAATGAAAACAATTTAAATGCAAAAACAGTGTATAGCCCTGGCTGGTGCGGCTCAGTGGATAGAGCATCAGTCCGCACACTGAAGGGTGATGGGTTTCATTCCTGGTCAAGGGCATGTACTTGGGTTGCAGGTTCAATCCCCGGCCCCAGTCAGGGCGCATTCAAGCAGCAACCGATCGACGTGTCTCTCTCACATTGATGTTTCTCTGCCGCCCCCAACTCCCGCCCACTCTCTAAAAATCAATGGAAAAATACCCTTGAGCAAGGATAACAAAAACAAAACGGTGTATAGAGCCAACGAAGTCTTCCTTCTCCCCGGCCCTCAGCACCCAGGCCCTCAGAGGAAACCATTGCAGCAATTTCCCACGCATCCTTCTTGAGATACGCCAAGCAAACCAACACACACCGTGTACACATTTACAGGAAAAAGCAAATCTGTCCACTGTATGTAATATTGCTTTTCTTCACTCGATGCAATGTCTTAAAGATATTTCACAGCAGGTGTACAGATCTATCTAGCTCCATTTCACAGCTATCGATCATATATCATCATCTGCAAGTATCATAATCCATTTATCCAGTCTCCTCTTGAATGTCACTGAGGTTGCTTCCGATACTTTGCAGACAATGCTGCAACAGCAGCCACAAACCTGAACGTGTGCGGTTTGGCTGGATTTTGTTAAAAAGTCAGGTTTATAGAGGCTACAATTTACCTACAGTAAAATTCCTCCCTTTTAGCGTGTTGTTCTAGGAGTTTTGACAAACACTGTGGTGGCTCTGGGGCAGGCCCGGCCCACAGACATTTTAGAAGGCACAGGAAGGTGACTTTAGTAAAAACAACAACAGCAAACAGATCTCAAGGGAAAGCAAGTGTGTCCTGAGCCCGCAGTCCCAGGGTGGTGTCTGGGGTTGGGGAAAAGTCCCACATGGCCACAGGTCTCCATAGAGCATGGCAACGTCCAGCATCGTCCCGGGAGATGAGATGAAGGGCCCAGACAGGGCAGACACTGCACTTTACTCTCTGTGCCGATGTACAACGTGGAGGTTTCACAGTGAAACAGGAAGCCAGGTGGTAAAACACGTAAGAAAAATCTATGGATATCGGAAACGGGAAAGGGCAAATTGAAATAATCCTCATCTGTGTCATTCTAAGAACGGACTGCAAGATGTACCCATTACTTTAATAACAGCTTTTAGGAGGGTTAAAAACAACATTAACTGTGTTCATAGATGGGAAAATGCACCCTGTAATCCTGAAGGTTAAAATGCGAAAGAAATAGGGGTCTTCGATGGAAGGGAATGGGTGCTTATGCCGTGCACCCCTCATTTATTCACTGGGCCACGTCACCGTGAGCGCCTGGACCACTCCCGCCTTCGCAGAGTGGCTAGAGGAGGAGGCACAGCAAATACACGGGCCTGAAGCCCATGTGAACGGCCCCAAAGGAGGCGAACTATCTGTTAGTGTTTTATCACCTCCCTCGGGCGCACATGACCTTCCTCATAGCCTTCTTTAAAAAAATGTTTTTATTGATTTTTACGGAGAGAGGAAGGGAGAGGGATAGAGAGATAGAAGCATCCATGAGAAACATCATCATCGATCGGCTGCCCCCCGCATGCACCTACTGGGGATCAAGCCCGCAACCCAGGCATGTGCCCTGACTGGGAATCGAACCGGCAACCTCTTGGTTCTTGGGTTCGACGCTCAATCGCTGAGGCACACCGGCTGGGCTCTATTAGCCTCTATGCCCACACTGAGTCCTTCTCTGCTTTCTCCAACCCAAATGGGGATAGGGTGGCCCCCAAGGACAAGCACTGGCACCAAGCCCTTCAGATCAACACTGGGTCCCTGACTTAGGATGCCCCATAGGGAGGAGGAACCCTCTCAGGAGCAAGGTGAATGACCGCGTCCTCAGGGCTCGCCTTGCCCCGGGCAGGGTGGGTGCTGACACCCATGCCCCAGCCTCACTGCCACCCAGACACCCCCCCACAGTGCGTGACAGCAGGGGCCTCCTGCCCAGTACAGCCCTGAGTGCAAAGCTCACAGGAGCACAAAGCTGGTGCACACAGCGTGTTGAACACAGGAGCTGGGAACCAACAGGCTCATGCAAGAGAAGCCTGTGCAGCTGAGCGAGGCTGGCAGGGCCCACGCTCACCATCTGGCACCGGGCCCAGGAGGAGTACAGGATCGTAGACAGTGTCCCTACCCACCTCACCCGCTGGCTGTGACAGGCGGGGCCCAGGCTGAATGAGTGACTTCTGTCCCTTCCAACAGGCCCAGGTTAATTATAAATCAAGCAACAGCGGCACAGTGGGACCAGCCCACTTCACACACCTGTGTACACTCTCCCCTCGACAGTCCGAATGGGGCACACAGGAGCCTACCGGAGAGGAGGGAGAGCCTATCGCGCTGGTCTCCGCAGCTCGAACCCTGGCGTCATAGGTCCCCACCCCATGCTCCCCGTGAAGAAACTTTTCTCCTCCAAGGGCTGGGTCAGCAGTGGGGACAGACGGAGGCTGGGTGGTGAGTCACTTCCTCCCTCCTTCCTCAAGCAGCACAGGCCGAGAGGGGGAGAATCATTTACTAACTCCTAGGCTACAAAAGGGAGGAACAAGACTCCTTAGTGTGGGGCTCTCACAGGGCCCTGAGTCTCAGCCACCAAGCACCCAGGTGATGAGCAAGAAGGGGTCGAGCAGAGCCAGGTCCATTCCCAGCCTTTCTGCATTCTGGACAGCAGAAGCCTGCCCCATCGAGCTGCTGAATCCTCATTTATTATGAAAATGCAGAAGAGCCTGGCTGGTGTGGCTCAGTGGTTGAGTGTCGACCTATGAACCAATCAGGAAGTCACGGTTTGATTCCCGGACAGGGCACATGCCTGGGTTGCGGGCTTGATCCCCAGTAGGAGTGTGCAGGAGGCAGCCGATCAATGATTCTCTCATCATTGACGTTTCTATTTCTCTCTCTCCCTTTCTTTCTGAAATCAATAAAAATATATTTAAAAAACACACACACACAGAAGATGGGGGATGAGGAGAGAAAGCAGTGTGATGAGAATCCCCAGTACATGCTTTAATGAGCGCCTCCAGCAACAGGGACAGCCTGCCTCTGGTCAGGACTCCTGGTCCAGTCCAGCGACTGGGGAGGTTCTGACCAATCAGTCCCTAGTCCCCTCTGTCAACCCTGTGCTTACTCTATGGCCCAATCCTTATTGGCTTTTCCTGGCTGCCTTCCTTGTAAGGGTCTCCTTGATGCCTCCACACGCCCCTTCCTGCCTCCGCTCTGCTCTGAGGGATGAACCCTAACCAGCTGTCGACCTCCCCACCACCGAGTTTCCTCACTTAAAAATGGACTGGATGGCAGCGCCGCGGAGGCCCCTTCCAGCGCCAATAGTCTATAATTTCAGCCACTCCCTCCATCTCGACCTCTCCTAACATGCACTTTGTCTCAAAGCTGCCCCTGAAATAAAATACCTCGGCGCAGATGGCTATGCTGCTCAACCTTCCCTCCCTGTCTCTTCCCACAGCTGCCGATGGTGAGCTCTCCAATCTGTAAGGACAGCAGGAATCTTTGAAAACCATATCTGCACACTCTTCTTCCACAGACTGCCACCGAGAATCAAGAGGCTCTGCTTCAGCATGAAAACTAACTCGTGTGCCAGGCAGTGGGAAGGCAAGGGTGCTCTCTGGCTTTCCTGGGGACTGTGGGGCTGAGCTAGGCAGGGCTTCGATAGGACTCATATCCCATGACCACTTAGGCAAGGATCAGACTCATATCCCATGACCACTGAGGCAAGGATCAGACTCATATCCCATGACCACTTAGGCAAGGAGTGCTGGGTAATAGGAAGAGGTGTGGCTTCAAGGACCAGCGTGTGGGCTGGTTCGGTTTTCTGTATTTCTTAGATGCTAGTGTTCATCACCCAACAATCCCCGCACAAAGTGCAAAATAATCAAGAGGATGGCACTGCAGAAGGACACTCCCCAACCAGCCACTTCCCAGCCGATGGCAACAACTGTACCTACAAGGACCTCTCAGGTGTGTGGGCGCACGGCCCACCTGCAGTGTGCACTTTGCCCGTATAGCGGGCATTACATAGGCATCTTGTGATTTTCGTAGGCGGGGAAAAAAGTACTGCCTACTTCCGTAGCAGGCACACCACCTTCTGACCGGAGGCACCTTTCGGAACGCACGGGTCCTTGAGGCTGCTCTCCAGATGTGGAACGGGAGCAGGTGAGAAGACCACAACTCCCTCTGATAGCCCCTGGGCACCCAGGGCCATGTGGCGCCTCAGCGGTTGATCTTCTTAGGGCGATCCTGAAATAGATGCCGGCAGGTGGCGCTTCTCAATGAAACTGGCTTCTCCCCCAGGAGTCACGCGGTAGCTGTCTCCTATGGGATCGGGCCATCCCTAAAGACCCACCCAGACTCTGTCATTTTCTTGACTCATGTGGGGAGCCTCCTCCTAAACACAGCAGCTAGAGCCTTACTATTTGCAGCAGCTGCCACGCTCTGTGTTTAGAAGAGACAAAAAGAAGAGGGAACACACGTGCCCCCACACCTAAAACAGTTTCAGAATTCACAGGCAAACCACTGGTTCAGAAAATTGTGCCTAAAATCATCCTGAAAAACTTGGGCCAACAGCCCATATCCCTAGGACTCAGCTCCAACGGCACATGAGACGGATTCGAATACAGGCACACCTTGAAAGACTGGGGGTTTGGTTCCAGACCACCGCAATAAAGCGAGACTTGCAATAGAGCGAGTCATGATCTTTTTGCTGGTGGGGGGAGAGGGGGTCTGGCCTTCCCTTTGTAAAA